ATCAGTCCTGGGTGTTCATTGGAAGAACTGATGCTGAAACTGAAACTCCAATACTTTGAGCATGAGCCACCTCATGCAAAGAGTTGACTCACTGGAAAAGACCCTGATGCTGGGAGGAATTGGGGGCAGGAGGAGAAGGGGACGACAGAGGATGAGATGGCTGGATGACATCACCAACTCGGGCATGACTTTAGAGTAAACTCCAGGAGTTTGTGATGGACAGGGAAGCCTCACGTACAGCAATTCATGGGGTTGCAAAGAGTCGGACACGACTGAGTGACTGAACTGAACTGAACAAAGTTCCTACCTTTCCCTTTCCAAGACTGTTCCCCCAACCCTCCTCCCCACCCCAGGCACTACATTCTCATTCTTATCACTATAGTTTAAAACTGTAGTTCTGTAACATTTAAATGGAGCCATAGGATATGAACTCTTCTGTGTCTACTGCTTTCATCAACATAATATTTTTGAGATAGATCCATATATTGGCATATTTATTCCTTTTTTGTTGTTTAGAAATAGTGTTTCATTGTATGAATATACCACAACTTGCTTAGCAGTTCACGTGTGTAATGTTTACATTGCTTCCAGTTTGGGGCTGTTATGAATCAAACTACTGTGAACATTCTCGTACAAGTATTTTTTTTTTATAACTAAAGAACTTTTATTTGTTTTTCACCAAGACTTTATCTTGAGGACGTAACTAAACTGCGCCTCCACTCCCCACCCCAATTTGAAGGAGGATTAGTACAGTGAATGTTATAAAGCAGGTATGAACAGTTTGAGGGACTGGAACCAACATTAACTGACAAAAACCAACTTCCATCTAAATCATCATAAAAATGTTTAAGTAAAAAAAAGGGGTGGAGGAGGGCAAAGGGGTTTTCAGATTGGACAAGATCATCACATTTTATCTAATACATTCAATTCTGGCTAGGGTATACCAAAATGGAAACAGGATAACTATAATACAAAACTTCCACTACAGCACACTGCACATATCTGTGTTCCAAGCCCACCCCCATTCCCCTAATGCTTCCAAACTCAACTATTTCCCAGCCTGTTGGGCCTGTCGACGAAGGAGCATGTAGATCTTCTCTTTAATCCAATCTTTGTTATAAGGCTGGTATGTCTGGGTATCAGCTCCGTAAACAAGGCAGCTGAGGTCTGCCAGGTCATCAATAAAATCAAACAACTGACTGATATCATATGTGATAGAGGGGCTGTTGGGATTCATTCTCTTCAGATGTTCTTCATACATTTTACAAACACCTTCCATACACTCATTCACAGATTCATAGTCAGCGTAAGTTCTGCCTTCTGGCCTCTTGGTAGGCTGTACCAGCAAGATGGTGTGAGACATCGCGCCAAAGTCTCCCGCTGCAGCCCATGCCGACTCCGCCACCGCACACTCGTACAAGTATTTTTAGGGACATTTTAGTTTTTATTGGGTTAATACCCAATAGGAATGGAATTTGAGTTGTAAGGGGTACTATTAACTTTAGGACAGTTTGTCAAAGTCCTTGAGTCATTTTAACACTACCATAAGCATCAGAGAATCAGCTCCAATTCCGCATTTTTCTCAACACTTGGTATTGCCAGTCATTCCAATTTTAGCCATTCTGGTAGTTGTAAAATGGTATGTTGTGGTTTTAATTTGCATTACCCGCTGATTAATTACATTGAGAACTTTTTCATGTGTTTATAGTCTATTTGTATTCCTCTTTTGTGAAAATACACATTTCAGATTTTTACCTATTTTGTGTTGACTTGTCTTTCTTTTTATTATTAAGTTGTAGGCATTCTTTATATATTCTGAATGCTAGTCTGTTACTAGGAAAGCTCCATTATCATATATACAAACATACATGCATATATATGTGTGTGTGTGTGTGTATTTGATAAAAATGTCATGTATATATAGATAGATATGTCATAATTAACTTTAGCTTGGATTTGTATTTTCTCAAGTGTGGCTTTTGATGTGCAGTGTTCTTAATTTTGATGAAGCCCACTCTATAAAGTTCATCTTTTTAAAAAAATTCTCATTGCTTTGTTTTTAATTGGCTCAGATGAGATCTGTTTTCATTTTAGTTCCCATTTGTTTGTTGCTAGGACAGAGAAACAATAGATTTTTTAAAATAAAGTATTTTTTTAAGATTTATTTATTTATGTTTGGTTGTGCTAGGTTTTCATTGCTGTGCACGGGCTTTCTCTAGTTGCCGCGAGCGGGGCAACTCTGTGTTGTGGTACTCAGGCTTCTTATTGCTGTGGCTTCTCTTGTTGCAGAGCACAGGCTCTAGGACTCATGGGCTCAGCAGTTGTGGCTTGTGAGTTCTGGAGCTGGGACTTGGTAGTTGGCGGTGCATGTGCTTAGTTGCTCTGCGGCATGTGGGATCTTCCAGACCAGGAATCGAACCCGTGTCCCATGTGTTGGCAGGTGGATTCTTAACCCCTGGACCACAGGGAGGCCCCTAAAGTTCATTTTTTATGGCTTTTCTTATCTTACTTGAGAAATCTTTGCCTATTCTAAGCTTGCAAAAAAATCCTCTTTTTTTTTTTTTAATCTTCTTGTGCAGAAGACTTACAGTTTAGCTTTTACATTTAGGTCTATAATCCATATCAGACTTCTGTGGATTTAGCAGTAGGAATTGAGGTTAAACTTCTTCCCATATGAACATCTTTTTGTAGCACCATTTATTAAAAAGACTGTCATTTTCCTATTCTATTCCTTGGCCTTTGTTGAAAATTAGTTCATTGTTTTTAAAAATGTTTTCCAGTTTAAAATGAAAAAAGCTTTCAGTTCTATGAAATATATTGTATATAGCACATATATATATATATATATATATATATAGATAGGTGGAGATACAGAATGTGAAATTATGGAGAATAATATGAACACCCTTAACCCATCAATTAAGAACTAGGATATTACTTAGTATTTTTGAAGTTTCTTTTGGATTCTTCCCTAATCTCATGACTGTGTTTCATACAATGGTGCAGTAGTAACCTTATCCTTGGATAGGAGGATAAACAAATTGCCAGTAATGGGGGTCTGGTGGCAAAGTTGTCTTCTATTCTTCAGCCTTTCAAATGCTATATTTCTCATTTCAAATACTCTGGCTGCTGTTGTTCACCACTGTTCCCTCCTTCTCTGAATCTGAAGCCTCTGATCTGAAGAGGATGAGCACACCTCTTAACTATATCACAGATTGTAACCTCCTCCTCTCTGTTTCTTGTGACAGTGCTCTTACCTATTCAGGATGCTTTATAGGAGTTTCTTGAAATCAGCTCATGGCCTCTTTCTGTCCTCTTCCTTGTTATGAGTTTACACCTTTTAAAACAGTTCTTTTTAATGTTTTAATGAAGTTTCTGGACAGATACATGAAAAGCAGCCTATTGTCTTGATTTAGAATTCCAGATTTCATTGTGAAACCTGGAAGGGAATAATGCAGTGCCTGACCAATCAGTGTCTTTTTAGTGAGACACCTAGGTGAGAGAGAGATTTTTTTGTTGGGAGACCTTTTTTATTGTGGTTGTCATAATGTGCTACAGATTTTAAACTAAGCTTCTTAATCTTCAGGCCACTTCATGATAAAATACTGGACTCCATTTGCTTTGGAAACTATACTGCTAGGACCCCTCAGGATCTTCAGGTAGAATATCTGTTTCTAACCTGGAGGCAATAACATCTGTCAAGATCAGTGAGGGCAGTAAAACACCACTTGCAAAGCACCTGACTTTAAAACAAAAATTGATTAGTTATTTAAGTAACATTATAAGGCTGTTTGTTATCTAGTTTAATTCTTTTTATTTTTAAAAATTTATTTATCTTTAATTGAAGGATAATTGCTTTGCAATATTGTGTGGGTTTCTGCTATCAACATGAATCAGTCATAGGTAGACACGTGTCCCTTCCCTCTGGAACCTCCCTCCCATCCAGTGCCACCCCTTTAGGTTGGTGAAGAGCCCCAATTTGAGTTCCCTAAGTCATACAGCAGACTCCCATTGACTATCTATTTTGCATATGCTAATGTATATGTTTCCATGTTCTCTCTCCATTCATCCCACCCTCTCCTTCCTCCCCACCCCACCCCATATCCATAAGTCTGTTCTCTCTGCCTGCATCTCCATTGCTGCCCTGAAAATCTGTTCATCAGTACCATTTTTCTAGATTCTATATATATATAAATACACATATGCATTAATAATGATATTTGTTTATCTCTCTCTGACTTACTTCACTCTATATAATAGGCTCTAGGTTCATCCACTTCATTAGACCTGACTCAAATGTGTTTTTTTTTAATGGCTGAATAATAGTCCATTGTATATATGTACCACAGCTCTTTATCCATTCATTTGTCAGTGGATATCTAGGTTGCTTCCGTGTCTTAACTATTATAAATAGTGCTGCATTGGACATTGGGGTACATGTGTCTTTTTCAGTTTGGTTTCCTCAGGGTATATGTCTATTAGTGGGATTGCTGGATGATGTTAGTTTGATTCTTAATACTGTTAGTAGAGTCCTTGATTATTTAAAGTTCTGGTTGGTGTCCTTATTTCCTCTTTCCCGACTCCTTGTACTATGAAAAAGAAAAGTACTTGTAGTCTGTGGTATATTCAAACTTTAGGTAAAGAGAAGAGCCTTATTAATATGAATGTACAATAACAAACTTCTTCTAAACTCTTAAAATTGTCAGGCATCCTTGCAGAGGGAGTGTTCTATCTTTTCTTTTATATGCCATTGCAAATCTTTGATTTTGATTTAGAGCTGCAATATAAATTCATGATTGGGTGGTTTTTCCTCTTTGATATTATCTTGAAATTTTCTCACATTGATAATTTTGCTGTAAAATGTACAGATTGACATTTCCCTCAAAATTATATATGGTTAATCATATTTAAGGTGAGAAAACACTGGCTTAATGCTTAGCTGATCTATCAAAAAATTCTCTCCTTTTCTAGATTACCAGGGAAGATTTAGGACTCCGAGAATGTTTCCCTTGAAGGATGCCGAAATGGGGGCCTTTACCTTCTTTGCCTCTGCTCTGCCCCATGATGTCTGTGGAAGCAATGGGCTTCCTCTCACACCAAATTCCATCAAGATTTTAGGGCGCTTTCAAATCCTCAAGACCATCACTCACCCCAGGCTGTGCCAGTATGTGGATATTTCTAGGGGAAAGCACGGTGAGTTGTTTTCTCATATTTTGTGTTCTCTACCCTGTTACCCTGATTAGGTTATAATATATACAGTAAGTGTTAATCACTCAGTCCTGTCTGATCTTTGCAGCCCGATGGACTGTAGCCCACCCGACTCCTCGGTCCATGAGATTCTCCAGGCAAGAATACTGGAGTGGGTTGCCATTCCCTTCTCCAGGGGATCGTCCCAACCCAGGGATTGAACCTGGGTCTTACTACAGGCAGATTCTTTACCATCTGAGACACTTGGGAAGCCATAATAATAAATAGTAAACATATAAAGTAATCAGAGTGTGTATGTTTGCTTGCCAGTACTTTTCACTCCAGCCAAACTGAGTCATTTGCGTTTTCCTGACTGCATTTGAATGATTCATATTTCTCAGATCTGAGAATCAGGATTTTTAATATTCTTTTTCAGGGAAGCCCCTAGCCTCAAGCATGTTTCTTCATCTCTCTAAAAAGGAAATGAAAATTCTAATGTTAGAAACTTAGTGTTCTGTCACTCGTCATGTCCAACTTGCTGTGACCCTGTGGGCAGTAGACCACCAGGTTCCTCTATCCATGGAATTTTCCAGGCAAGAAGACTGAAGTGGGTTGCCATTTCCTTGTTCAGGGATCTTCCTGACCCAGGGATCACACCTGCATCTCTTGCATCTCCTGCATTGGCAGGTGGATTCATTACCACTGAGCCACCTGAGAAGCCCAATAGAAACTTAGAGAATTGTTTATTAGAATGTATTTTATGATTGAAAGTAATAATTTGGGCTAAGTTTCTTCCAATGAAAAGAGGGTCACTAATGTTTTTACCTCTTCGTAGCTGCATTAGTCTTTTTATATAGGATTTCATTTAGTAGAGTTGAACTCTATTGGTTAAAAAGTCAGTATTTCACCAGGAAGAAGTTTACTGCCTTTTTAGTTGTATAGTCCAGGCTTTCCAAGTAGCGCTGGTGGTAAAGAACCTGGCTGCCAGTGTAGAAGATGTAAGAGATGTAGGTTCAATCCTCTGGGGGAGGGCATGGTAACCTACACTGTTATTCTTCCCTGGAGAATCCCATGAACAGAGGAGTCTGGCAGGCTATGGTCCATAGAGTCACAAAGAACTGTATATGACTGAAGCGACTTAGCATGCACGCATGCAGTCGTAAAGTCAGGTTCTTCTATAACATATCTTAGCCCATTCTCCTTGCTAAAATATGACAGTATAAACCGAGTGGCTTATAAACAAGAAGAGTCTGTCCCTCACAGTTCTGGTGGCTGGGAAGTCCAAGATTAAGGCAATAGCAGATGCTATGTCTGGTGGGGCCCACTTCTTCCTTAACAGTCAACTTCTCCCTGTAACCTCACTTGGTGGGAGGGGAAAGGGAGTTTTCTCAGGCTTCTTTTACAAAATAAGAGCACTGATCCTGTTTGTGAGGGCCTTACCCTCATGGCTTCCCATGTGGGGCTAGTGTCTGTCAATGCAGAAAATACAAGAGACTCGAGTTCAATCCCTGGATTGGGAAGATCCCCTGGAGAAGGGCATGCCAACCCACTTCAGTACTTGCCTGGAGAATCCCCATGGACAGAGAAGCCTGGTGGGGGACAGTCCATGGGGTTGCAAAGAGTCGGACATGACTGAAGCGCCTTAGCATGGACACCCTCATAATCTAATCACCCCTAAAGCCCCACAACCGGACACCATCACACTGAGGATTAGGTGTCAACATATGGATTTGGGAGGTGGGGCACAAATGTTCAATCCATAGCACCCCTGAAGGTGCTTATGGTGGCAATCTTCTAATTATTTTAAAATTATTTTTGAAAGCTTAATTTCATGCTTAAAATTATTTTAAATACATTTCAGTGAAATATATTTAATTTCTCTAACAAAATGAATTGTGAAAGTTAACCCCATATACTTACTGATATTTTACTGTTTTTATTCCCTTAAAAATCGCATTTTCAGATGTTTCAACCTAATACTACAGGTGCTGAAAAAAATGCAAACTCTTATTTCCTTAGTTTTGCTGAAAAACAGGCTAAATGATACTTTCAAGTAGTCTAGGTTATGCCTCTTGATAATAGTTTCTCTGAAAGTTTTATAGAATTTGAATAGAAAATGTTTTTTGTAATAAATGTTATTAATGGCTAACATTTATTGAGTGTTTATTACTTATTAGGCAGTATTCTAAATGCTTTACATATTTTAATTAACTTAATCCTTACAATATTACCATGAAGTAGGAATTCTTATTGTATTCACATTTTACAAATGAGGAAATTGAGGCACAGAGCAATTAAGTAGCCTAGGAACTTTTGGGAAGTTTGTTGTTTACAAACAAGCAAATTTAAAAAACCTTTTTGCTAAAGTTTTTGTTTGCTAAAGAGCTTCAAGACAGTAACTAAATTATAGATATCATATGGGGCTTTTATATAACCAAATAGTTGATAGATATTGTCAAGCCCTGAATGCCTCAAATACCACCCCACCCCCATCCAATTACAAATTCTAAAGAATTTTGGTTTGTGGAATTGGCCTAGTTCCAAAATCACTCCAATATGGCCATATGGTAGATCATTATCATCTGTAATGAGTAACCAAAATTTGCTGTTGTATGTCTGGAAATTTGGACTATGCTTATCTTCCCAAATTCTTGCCACTTTACTCAGTTCTTGGGACTTTTTCATTTTTTTTTTTTGTTTTAAGATTGATTGATTGATTGATTTTTGGCTGTGCTGGATCTTCACTGCCACTCGGGCTTTTCCCTTGTTGGTGGCAGGCGGGGGCTTCTCCTCAGTTGTGGTGCGCTGGCCTTCTCATTGTGGGGGCTTCTCTTGTTGCAGAGCCTGGGCTCCAGGGCACACAGAGTTCAGTAGTTTCAGCTCCCAGGCTCTGAAGCACAGGCTCAACTCTTGTGGAGCATGGGCTTAGTCTCTCCTTGGCATGTGGGATCTTCCTGGGTCAGGGATGGAACCTGTGTCTCCTGCATTAGCAGACCAATTCTTTACCACTGAGCCCCCAGGGAAACCCAGGACGTGCCCTTTATTTTTTCCCACTGACTGGAAGCCTATTTGGAGCATCACTTCAGATGACTGGAGTCTTGCCTCTGTCCAGTTTTCCCTAGACTTTTTGGAATAGGCTTTTTGGGATAATTGACTCTATAGTCCTAGAGTCAAGAGTCTTGAGCTCCTTTTTTCATCCTTCTACCTCTGTAAATACTGAACTAGGAAAAACCTTATGACATAATCTCTCTGGGGAACCCTACTGCTAACTGCATAGGAAACTTCTTTTTAGTTATAAATGCCAGGTAGGAAGTAATCTCCTTGGACACTGTTAAACTCTGTTAATGTTGAACCCAGCTCAACAATGTGGGTAGTCTCCTTAGGTCCAATCACCATATTCCTGGTTACTCTGCTTCCCCTGACTGCCCTGCTCCTAGGTCTCCACAGCCCTCTCTTCTGGGGACACACAGATTATGGATGTGTATAAAATTCATATATTTTAAGCTTGACTGCCTAGAATGAAAATGTCTGTTATTGTCAAAAGGTTAGGGAATTCGATTACTTTTTTTCCCCCCCACTATTGGCAATCTTCCTTGTCCTGAAAAGTCATAAGCATAAGGAGTAACTAATGAAATTAGAGTAAGTGTTGTTGTGAAGGTCCGTTCGTTCCAAACATCCCAGTCATTTCAGTTACATTTAGTTTGAAAAATTTGAAAAGTCAACAATCTCCTAAGTGAACAATGCATATTTCTCAATGATGTAATCATTTTGGTTTGGACTGTACTTGCCTCCTCAAAGAATCTTGATTTTGGTTCCTTTATCCTGTTCTTGCTACACAGATATCTCTCATCTTGTCATTGTTAGTCCCACACTCTCCTCATTTTACTTGGAGTAAAGTGTAACATGTGGTTCATTTTAGTAACATTGTTTTCACATGTTAGGTTAGCTCAGAAGTCGAGCTTTCACTGTTTCCAACAGATCATTCAGAACTGATTCAAGATGATATTAGTTTCTTGCTAACTCAGCAGGTTGAAGGAGAAGGCAATGGCAACCCACTCCACTACTCTTGCCTGGAAAATCCCATGGACGGAGGAGCCTGGTGGGCTGCAGTCCATGGGGTTGCACAGAGCTGGACACAACTGAGGCAACTTAGCAGCAGCAGCAGGTTGATGTATTTAATCTCAATAGTTTACATTCGAATTTTTGAACTTGATTTATCAAAAGAGAAATTGAGTAGAATATCTTTAAAAGAAAAAAAGGTCAATAAAGCATGAAAATACTTAAGTTAGCAAACTTGATCTTTTTCTTTTGAACTTGAAATCTCAGCAGTTTTAGAAGCATAGAAATGATTATAAATGGTAATATATTCCAATTGATTTGGTATTGATTACTCAAAAATTTTTTATTGCTAGGAAAATCAAGAACAAAATTATTTTAATTAATAGATTTGAAATTTAGGTAGAGAATAATTGAATTGTTAAGGGACTATAAGATAATTCTGTATCTCTAGCTGCATATGTATATTTCAACCTGAGTGTCTGTATCAGTTTAGAGTTCCATCAAAGAAACAGAACCAGTAGGAGATAGATGGCTAGATAGTCTGATAGCTGTAGATTAATTGGTTGGGGTTTGTTTATGTGATCGTGGGGGCTGGGTAAACTAGCCTGAAATCCATAGGGCAGCTCATCAAGGACAAGGTGAATTTTTATATAATAGCTGAAGTCATAGTCCCAAGCGTGGAATTTCTTCTCCAGAGAAGACTGGATTCTGCTCTTAAGGCCTTAGTAACTGATTGAATCAGGACCACCCAGATTATCTAGGGTAATCTTCCTTACTCACATTAAACTAATTGTAGATTTTAATCAATTATTTAATGTTTCACAGTAACACCTAGGCTAGTGTTTGAATAACTGAAGACTATAGCCTGGCCTGTTGACTCATAAAACTGACCATCACAGTGACCTAGTAATGATAGTATTTCTTTTTTTTTATTATGATACTGTTTCTTAAGCCCAGAATTACCCTTTATCTGTTTGACTGTATAAATATTTATTTAGAGATTTTATTTAAAAGGTGATGAGCTAATCTCAGTTTTTACTGTGAAGAAAGAATGATGCAGTAACTGTTTTCTAATAACTTTCATATTATCTTAACACATTCACAATTTACCTTTCTCTAAGTTAAAAGTTTTTTAAATCTTTCATTTAGTCCCTCTTTTTATTCAACTACTTTATTATCTGTCTTGCTTAATACTGTACTCTCTTCCATTTCTTAGCCTTGACTTAAAACTTACAGTTCAAACTGTATGTATACTACAGAGATATGTGGCACTCATCAAATATTTCATATAGGAAAGATTAAGTAATGGTTCTTGTATGTTCTAGTCTTTAAAGTTCATCTTGGTGTCACATTTGTTTTTTATAAATAATGCCACTATATTGCTGATTTATATTTGGCATATTATTCTCAAATATTTTTGTCATATTTTATCCTGTGAAACTATATTGTTTTATAACAAGCAAAAGTTATTTTCAAACAGTTGTTTAGAGTTTCAGGATGAAGTCCCTCAAATGATTTTTTGGGAAAAAAAACCTGGTTCATATTGGAAACATTGTCTTGGTATATATTCCATTACCTCTCGGAGAATCTTTGATATTCTGCCAGGATTATGGGTCTGCTATATTAAAGTAATATTTACTTTAAGGTTCCATAGGATCCTGAAGCTTTGGCAAACTCTAGTTTATGAAGTTTTGAAGGAGTTTCCTGAAGAAACTTGATAATTTTTTTTTTCTAAATCATTGTAAACCTGACATATTTTATACTAATGTCAGATACTTTAAAATCTTTCATAGATATGGAGACTTGTGAATATCTAATTTAAAATTATTAATTAATGGAGTATGCACATTTTAGCATATTCTGATGGTCTTTTATATTAAAATCAGTGCTATTGTGATATTATTATGCCTAGTTTACAGAGCAGGCATATGCTTTTCTACACAGGACAGATTTCTATTTAGAAAATGACAGTCTTTATATGAGACTTATTCATTTCTAATGGCCACATTGAGTCTTTGCTCAAGTTAACTAATTTAGCAAATATTTTTAAGTTAGATGTGTATATTTGAGATATTGTTTTAGACACTGGTGATGCATTTTGAACAAGACCAAAATCTTTCCTGCCATCAGGAAATGTATTATCTAGTAAAGAACAAAGACATTAGATAAAAATGTATACAGATCCTTAGGATTTCAAATGAATGCTACAAAAGAAAAGTACATTGTGAAATGGATCATATTATAGGAGGCGCGAATTGATTTGGGGGGACCAGGAAAGTGTTTCTGGAGGAAATCACATTTAACTGTATAGTAATAATAATAGCTAACACTTAGTGTTTCTTGTATGCCAGGTCCTTATTATGTATTAACTCATTTCAACCTCACAACAGCTCTATGAGGTAGGTCCTTATTTTTCCCTCATTTTGCAGATGAGGAAACCTTGGCATAGAGAGGTTAGCAAACTAATGAGTGTTAAGCCTAAAATTTGAGCCCAGACCAAATAGCCTGTGCCCTTAATCACTGTGTTTCATGATAGGAGTTCACTGGGAGGAAAACAGGGAGGATCATCTTAGGCAATAGGAATCCATGTAGTAGTACTTTAAGGCAGGAAAGGTGAAGGAAGACCAGTGTGACTGGAAGTTGGTGAGCAATACACAGAATGACAAAAAACAGGCTAAACAGGGAGTTGCGTATTCAGTTTTATTAATTATTATTTCAGCACTTAGATTTTAGCATGAAAATATGTTGGAGGGCAGTAACAATTTATTGGAGATGATTGTTTAAGAGATTGTTTTAGTAATCTAGTAAGAAATGATGTTGGCTTAGACCCAGATTGTGGCAGATGAAGCAAACCACAGATTCTGTAGACATTTGAAAGATAGAAATAGCAGTGCCTTTTCTTTGGATTTGAGAAATGGAGGTTACTCCTAAGTTTGTAGCCTGAGCAGCTAGCAGGATAGTGGTACCATTTACTAAAGGGAAAGGCTTAAGGAGCAAACTATAAATTCAGTTTGAGTTATGTTGAGTTTGAGGTGACTTTTATATTAAAGTGAGGAATTGGCTATTAAAAGAGAACTCTGGGCTTGAGGTAAAATTCAGGAGTTTTTCAGCCTTGGGAGTAAATAAGGAGAAAACACAGTTGAAGACCCAGAATCAAAAGTGGAGAAAGTATTTAAATTTGTGTAGAGGGGAAATTCCCTGGTGGTCCAGTGGTTAAGACTTGGTGCTTTCACTGCTGTGGGTCTGAGTTCAGTCCCGGGTTGGGGAACTAAGATCCCACAAGCTGCATGGTGCAGCCAAAAAATTAATAAATAAATAAATTTGGTTAGAAGAGTTACCTGTCTACCGAGGAGACTAAGGAGAGGTGGCCGGTTAGGTGTAAGGAAAACTGACAGAAATGCTGCTTCCCATTTTGGTTTTCTGACAGCATTATTTGCTTTTTCCTTCTAGATCTTCATATTTGTGCTAAATCACTTGGAATTCAACCTTGCATGCTCTTTTCTGTATTGAATTGAAGATCTAGACCTTTAATTTCACAGCTTTCTTTCCTGTTAATTTTCCTTTTTTTCTCTTCATTTCATGGTCTTTCAAATTTAATTTTCTTTAGGTTCCTGTTCAGATCACCCGGAGCTTTATTTTTTTTCCCTGAAAGTGATGGTATTCATTTGTAGTAGTTTAAATTTTGTGTTTCAGGTCATTCTATATAATGCCACCACCTCAGTTTGAGCTTCCAAGAAGTGACCCATATGCATCCTGCCCTCACACTTCACATGATTGCCTGTGTACCATTGTCCATCATCTCTTCTCTCAGCAGGCCAGGCCTTACCTTACCTTGAACCAGTGCTTACTGAGAGTATTTCCTTTTATTGGATCTCCTCCTCTGAAATTTTTCCTGTCTTCTGCTCTCATTTTTCTACCTTTGCCATTTTTCATTTTCACCAAACCTCTATGTAGTCATCACTATTTCCAGTCCCTTTTACTTTACTTCTTTTTCTTGTCTTAGTTTGCCATCTGAAAAGGAAATGGCATTCCGCTCCAGTATACTTGCCTGAAAAATCCCATGGACAGAGGAGCTTGGTGGGATACAATCCATAGATTCACAAAGGGTTGGACATGACTTAGCGACTAAACCACCACCACCATTTTGTGTTTACTTTCTTCCTTGTCTTTTAAACTTATTTTGCATAGATATACATAGTACTCCAATTTCTTTTAAAAACTTTCTCTCTCCTGAAATAACCTTATCAAATCCCCAACCACTTGTGAGCCCAATTGTGCCTTTTCTCTGGTTCCTCCTATGTTGTTTCATATAAAAAGAAAGAGTTTGTTGATCTGCTACTGTGTCAGACAATGTGTCAGTGAATAATTAACTAATGATTACATTAAAAATGTATGGACTGACCTTCAAAACTGTGCAACTTATTCTTAGACAGTTGATCTGTTGGAAAATAAAAATTCCATCATACTATATATTGTGCTCATGAAAATTTTATATTATTACTAATCTCAGCAGGCCTCATGATGTTATAAACAATCGCAAGTTGATTTTCAGTTCTTTCTCCATAATTGTGATTCATAACATTTCTACTTTTCTCCAGTTTCTGAATTCAGTTTCAGAGACCTTATGTTTGAGCCAGACTGTCAAGACAGTTTGTCCCTAGATCCCAGTTTCCCCTTCACTTCAAAATTTCTTTATATATTCATCCAAGCTTTTTCTTCTGCTAGCCTGTGTCAGAAAAAGGATCACTTCTTTTTGCCAAAGGTAACCCTTTCCAGCTGTTTTTCCTAATGTACAGGGGAGAAATCATAGAGAAAAAAACAAAATGAAGATTGTTATTTGCTGCATTGTTTTCTAACACATTTATCTTGTTATTCTAGATATCTGATTTTTATGTAGTTAATGTAGACTTTGAAAAGCTCTTTTCAAATATCATTTCTTAATATCTTTAGTGGAGTATATTATTTTGTTACTAAAACATTGTATTAATCAAATATAAAGTGCATTTAGTTTTTTCTTTTTTTTTCACTCAGAGAGATTGGTGGTGGTAGCTGAACACTGTGAACGGAGTCTAGAAGACTTGCTTCGTGAAGGGAAACCCGTGAGGTACTGTGTGTAGTATCAGGACAGTTAAATGAGAAGCAGAAATTGACCAACAAAAAGGCATTTTACCTAGAACTACAGGGTGTTAGTTTCTTCTATTACTTGTTTAATGATAAAATCCAGTTGTAAATATTTATTTTAGGAAAATTAATTCACAGGCCTCATAGAAATTCAGCATTGACATCATCCAGTGTTCAGCTTTTGTAGGCATTTTGCAAAGTACTTAATAAAAAATTACCCTTTTTAGTACTAAGCTTTTCTTTAGCATGCTGAAGTTAAGAGTATTTTCCAGAGACAAGTACATGGTAACTTCTCACAGGGTACTGGTGTTCCTAGGAACATGGTGAACTGTATAAACTAAGGCCACGTTGAAGAATAGAGAGAAATAATATTCATGGCTTATGTATAATCTAATCATACAGTTTAAATTCAGTTATTTCAATGACATATGAAATTTGCTTTCTATCTCAGGCATTTTGGGCAAGAAAAATATGTGATCTAAACTTTATTGTAAATGTACTATTAAATGAGCTTCTTCACTGATTTTCTGAAATTATCTTAAAATTATGAAAAATATTTTTAATGAGTAAAATTGTACTAAAACATGAAGATTGGTTGCCTTGAACTTTTATATGATTGTAAGTATCCATCCTACATTTAAGAAATATTCTTATTCTTGGTCAATACTTTTTAATCATTGTTATATTATAGATAATGATACATCTTCTTCAAAGGAGGAAAAATGTGTGTCTTAATAAATGGTAGTAATTTAATAGCAGCAAAAGAAGTAAGTTGAATAAAAGTACTTTCACTGCTACTTTAAATGGTTTGGTTTAAGTGGTCTCTGGAATGCAAGATGCAGATATCAAATCCACTATTGCCTCCCTTGCTTTTTTAGAAAAATCTAATGTGACCATAGCAATAAAAGAGAATTTTCTGTTTATTAAACATAACTTAGTAAATATGTTTTTACATATATAACTTTTGCATGTCACAAATCTTTGATTGTATTTGTTAAAGAGCATATTGCTCTTTGCTCACCAATTTAAATTTATACTTTAGTTTATAGGCCACCTATTCTAAAATTTTTAAAAAAAAAAGAAAAATCTTCATGAAAGTTCAGTTCAGTTGCTCAGTCATATCCGACTCTTTGTGACCTCATGGACTGCAGCACGCCAGGCCTCCCTGTCCATCAGCAACTCCCAGAGTTTACTCAAACTCATGTCTCTTGAGTCGGTGATGCCATCCAACCACCTCATCCTCTGTCATCCCTTCTCCTCCCACCTTTGATCTTTCCCAGCATCAGGGTCTTTTCAAATGAGTCAGCTCTTCGCATGAGGTGGTCAAAGTATTGGAGTTTCAGCTTCAACATCAGTCCTTCTAGTGAATATTCAGGACTTATTTCCTTTAGGATGGACTGGTTGTATCTCCTTGCAATCCAAGGGACTCTCAAGAGTCTTCTCCAACACCACAGTTCAAAAGCATCAATTCTTCAGCACCCTGCTTTCTTTATAGTCCAACTCTCACATCCATACATGACCACTGGAAAAACCATAGCTTTGATTAGATGGACCTTTATTGGCAAAGTAATGTCTTTGCTTTTTAATATGCTGTCTAGGTTATTCATAACTTTTCTTCCAAGGAGTAAGCATCTTTTAATTTCATGGCGGCAGTCACCATCTGCAGTGATTTGGGAGCCCCCCAAAATAGTCTGTCATTGTTTCCAGTTTCCCCATCTATTTGCCATGAAGTGATGGGACCGAATGCTGTGATCTTAGTTTTCTGAATGTTGAGCTTTAAGCCAACTTTTTCACTCTTCTCTTTCACTTTCATCAAAAGGCTCTTTAGTTCCTCTTCACTTTCTGCCATAAGGGTGATGTCATCTGCATATCTGAGGTTATTGATATTTCTCCCAGCAATCTTGATTCCAGCTTGTGCTTCATCCAGCCCAGTGTTTCTTATGATGTACTCTGCATATAAGTAAATAAGCATGGTGACAATATACAGCCTTGATGTACTCCTTTTCCTATTTGGAATTAGTCTGTTGTTCCATGTCCAGTTCTAACTAACTGTTGCTTCCTGACCTGCATACAGATTTCTCAAGAGGCAGGTCAGGTGGTCTGGTATTCCCATCTTTTTCAGAATTTTCCACAGTTTGTGGTGATCTACACAGTCAAAGGCTTTGGCATAGTCAATAAAGCAGAAATAGATGTTTTTCTGGAAGTCTCTTGCTTTTTTGATGATCCTGCAGATGTTGGCAATTTGATCTCTGGTTCCTTTGCCTTTTCTAAATCCAGCTTGAACATCTGGAAGTTCACGGTTCATGTATTGCTGAAGCCTGGCTTGGAGAATCTTGAGCATTACTTTACTAGCATGTGAGAATAGTGCGATGGTGCGGTGGTTTGAGCATTCTTTGGCATTGTCTTTCTTTGGAATTGGAATGAAAACTGACCTTTTCCAGTCCTGTGGCCACTGCAGCTGCATGGTGCTGGAACGAGTGGCGGTGAGAAGATACCCCACATCCAAGGTCAGGAGCGGCAGCTGCTCTTAGCTGGAATGGGTGTGAAGAGATACCCCACATCCAAGGTCAAAGAAACCTCAGTAAGATGGTAGGCACTGGAAGAGCTGTGAGGAGAAACCCAGGCCCGAGGGCAAAGGAGAAGCCCCAGCGAGATTGTAGTAGGGGTGAATCTGCGTTTAGAATCAAACCCCATTCCTGCCAGAGACACTCAAAGGGCTCAAACAAACCTCATGCACACCAGGACCCAGAGACCCACAGAGACTGAGACTCCTAGGTAGAGGAGCCCCTTAAATTTGTGCCCAAGAGGTGTCTCATTTGCCTCCTTGTAGTCCCAGCCCTGCCTTGGTATTTGATCAAGAAAATGCGTGTCCAACAAAATATTTGCACAGTAATGCTTCCAGAAACATGGTAGCCCCAAACTGGGAAGGACTCAAATGTCCATCAACGGGAGGATAGGTGAGCAGATGGCAGTATGTTAATCAACAATAAAATGGAATCAACTACTGATATACACATGATGAACCTTAGAAATATTATGGTGAGCAAAAGGCAGATACAAAAGTCATATTCTTCTATTTATATGAAGTTCTAAAACAATTAAAACTCATCTATGATGGTAGATATAAAAACAGTGCTTGACCCTGGTTGGGAAGTGGGAATACAGGAACTGATTCCAAATGGCCTTGAGAGAACTTGCTGGGGGATGGAAATTTTTGCATCTTCATTGGGGTATTACTTATATAGTACATATTCTTGCAAAACCTGTCAAAATTCACTGACATGTATACCTTAAGAACTTGCATTTCACCTATGAACATTATACCTCAAAAAATTTTAAGAGCCTGTTGAGATATTTACTTTACTTGGACTGTGAGTCTCTCATATAGCAACAAGATTTATTGTTAATGAAGATGCTTCATCCAGTAACATACTATTGTATTTTTTTGCTTCTATAAGAAGAATTAGTATGAATTAATTATTGTTGGGTAAAAAACTACTTCAACACTTAGCAGCTTAAAACAGTAATAAGTTAAGTCGCTCAGTCGTGTCCGACTCTTTGCAACCCCTTGGACTGTAGCCCACCAGGCTCCTCCGTCCATGGGATTCTCCAGGCAAGAATACTGGAGTGGGTTGCCATTTCCTTCTCCAGGGGATCTTCCCGACTCAGGGATCAAACCCAGGTCTCCCGTATTGCAGGCAGATGCTTTAACCTCTGAGCCACCAGGGAAGCCCAAAACAGTAATAAGCATTTATCAATTTATATAGTTTCCCTGGGTCAAGAATTCAGGAATGTTTAGTTGAGTGGTTTTTTAGCTCAGGATCTCATGTCGTTGCAGTCAGTGTATCAGCTGGGGCTGTAGTCATCTGAAACCTCTATTAGGGATTCAAGATCTGTTTCTAAGTTAGCTCACTTATTTGGTGCTGGTTGTTGATAGGAGGTTTAATTTCCTCCCTATCTTGAGGGCCTTTCTACAGACCTCTTGGCTGAATTCTCACAGTATGGTGGTTGGCTTCTGCTAGAGTGAGTGCGTGAGCGATCTAAGAGATGAGAGGAAACAAAGTGGAACCTGCAATGCCTTTTATGACCTCGCCTCAGGAGCCACACATCACTATATCTTATTGGATACAAAGCTCAGCCAGCCAGGACCAAAAGAATAAAAATAAAATAAAATAAAAATAAAATACAGCTCCAAAAAAAAAAAACAAAGCTCAGCCATTAACTCTATTCATTTGGGAGAAGACAACACAAGAATGTGAATCCCAGGAATCCAGGGGCATTGGGGGTCATCTTAGAGGCTGGCTATATGTCACCCTGCTTGTTTAACTTATATGCAGTGTACATCATGAGAAACGCTGGGCTGGAAGAAGCACAAGCTGGAATCAAGATTGCTGGGAGAAATATCAATAACCTCAGATGCAGATGACACCACCCTTATGGCAGAACGTGAAGAGGAACTAAAAAGCCTCTTGATGAAAGTGAAAGAGGAGAGTGAAAAAGTTGGCTTAAAGCTCAACATTCAGAAAACTAAGATCATGGCATCTGGTCCCATCACCTCATGGGAAATAGATGGGGAAACAGTGTAAACAGGGTCAGACTTTATTTTTCGGGACTCCAAAATCACTGCAGATGGTGATTGCAGCCATGAAGTTAAAAGACGCTTACTCCTTGGAAGGAAAGTTATGACTAACCTAGATAGCATATTAAAAAGCGGAGACATTACTTTGCCAACAAAGATCCATCTGGTCAAGGCTATGGTTTTTCCAGTGGTCATGTATGGATGTGAGAGTTGGACTGTGAAGAAAGCTGAGCGCCGAAAAATTGATGCTTTTGAACTGTGGTGTTGGAGAAGACTCTTGAGAGTCCCTTGGACTGCAAGGAGATCCAACCAGTCCATCCTGAAGGAGATCAGTCCTGGGTGTTCATTGGAAGGACTGATGTTGAAGCTGAAACTCCAGTACTTTGGCCACCTCATGCAAAGAG